TGTTATAAGGTGTAAATCGAGGGTCAATTTCACACGTTGTTCAAAATACAGCGCAAAGATCCCGTGAAACGAAGGCAGAGTCTCAGTGTCTACCACCAATTCCAGCTGTCTTCCAGTTTTGAGCCGCCGATGTGACTTCGGCTGTCATCGGAAAAAGCAGTAACAACCGAGAGGCTTGGGACATGGGACAGAAAATGCCTCCTTGATATGACCCAAAATGTCCTGCCCTAGACCTGACCAGAAATGTTCTTCCAGTCTGAATGCTTTTTTTATTCAAAACTACCTGACCTTGTCACATCCCCCAGTGCTAAACAGCCTTTCATTTGTTACTACGGTAATAATACGAGGGCCTTTGATAACGCAACACTGAAGTGTGAGAAAATGGAGGATGTTGAAAAAGGTATAATTTTTGGAACTAACAGCGAGGCATTATGAATGTAACCTCTTGTGCACACGTTTTCGACGTGTCACTTTAAGTCTGTGCCGTCACGATGTGTTACATATTCGCCTACACTTACAGAAAACAACGAGGACTGTATAATCTAATAGGATTGTATTTCCTTCGTGACTCTGGAGCACGAAATTTGTTTCAACACGTGTTACGATGCAAAGAGTAGTGACTCACCTTTTCAATCTACAGACCACTTCAATCTGCTGTCTGTCTCATAAAGACCTCTTTTACGTGGGAAATATCAGGCAAGTAGAAATTTTATCTGATGGAACTAAGCAAACATTTGTAAACCCCTAGCTACTACAGATAAGACTGATACTGCACATTACGTAAGCAACATTAAGATGAAGATTTCTGTCTTCTGGGTAGTTGCGCTGTGTAGTCTGGTCGATGTAAACCAACGTTTCAGAGGTCATTCTGCCTCCGTCATCAGGGCGATGAGTATGAAGATTTCTGTCTTCTGGGTAGTTGCGCTGTGTAGTCTGGTCGATGTAAACCAACGTTTCAGAGGTCATTCTGCCTCCGTCATCAGGGCGATGAGTATGAAGATTTCTGTCTTCTGGGTAGTTGCGCTGTGTAGTCTGGTCGATGTAAACCAACGTTTCAGAGGTCATTCTGCCTCCGTCATCAGGGCGATGAGTATGAAGATTTCTGTCTTCTGGGTAGTTGCGCTGTGTAGTCTGGTCGATGTAAACCAACGTTTCAGAGGTCATTCTGCCTCCGTCATCAGGGCGATGAGTATGAAGATTTCTGTCTTCTGGGTAGTTGCGCTGTGTAGTCTGGTCGATGTAAACCAACGTTTCAGAGGTCATTCTGCCTCCGTCATCAGGGCGATGAATATGCCAATAGGGTGTGAGGTGCTAGGTTTATAGGCCGGAAAGTGAAAGGTGTAGCCTGCCCCGGGCCAATGGGAGCAGGCATGGGAGTGGACCAAAGGTAGCTCGTTTGTAAGGTTTGATAAATTATGAATTCCAAAGAACACAATTCTTTTTCAGAAGCTATTAGTCGCTCAGCTAGTCGTAAAATTTTCGTCCTTTTACAGAAGCCCAAGGTTCAACCCGCCATATTTCTCTATACTGAGCCAGATTAATCCAATTCACATCCTCTGACTCTTTCAGATCCATTTTAATATTGCCCTCCTTTCAGGTTTTCAGGCTACAGTTTTGTTCGCATTTGTCATCTCTCTCATAAGTGCTATAGGTCCTGCCAATCTCATCCTTATCAATTTATTTTCCCAAGTAATAGCTGATTTTCTTCAGACTCAAAATTCGAAATTCCACAATATTACCTCTTTCTCCTTTTCTGAAACCTTTCCAATCTGTATCCTCTTCGGGATGGGGGGGCGTTTTACACCCATACAAAATAACGGGTAAAAATATAGTTCTTTCTGCCACCTGGAACGGTTTCCGCCAAGTGTTGAACACAACACTCTTCTCAGTAAGAGGGGTTGTTTCTGCCACCTCATTTCTATTAATAAACAACTCTTGAAAGCAATCCGTGGCTGCCACCCTCAGCCTACTTCACAGGACAAGCGCTCACTATAAAAATGGCTCCATGAATTCCGTCCGCCCTTGAATGTAAAATAGTTTTAAACTTGAAAAGCTGCTTCCTTTACTGTTCTTGCCATCAACGGTTTTAAAAAGCAGACCTTCCTCGTTCCCGGGATTACGCATCTAGGTTTTGCACATTCTCGGAAAAATTATTGCGGATAATATTTGCGAATCGTGGAGAAGGTCCCTCGGTCTTTCGTGTTCGCTCCTGCGCAGACGCGCGGAGTAATACACTGCAGCCTGCATCTGCCCTTCTGTCCCATCAGCTACATATAATACTGTCCCTGGCTTCTCGTTTGTGGGTGCGCCGTTGGTTTGGGCGAGTTCACATTCTGATATGTTATCATGTTTATTAATAACTGATACATATTTAGTATCATGATTAGCGTGTTTTTTTTCCTTAACTCCATTTTCCGTAAATAAAGAATGCGATGTGTGCTGTGTTGATGACGAAATAAGTTACGACACACTCTTTTCCAAAGTTGTCACCCAACGAATCCGACGCCTCAAATGATATATAATTCAATAAATAAAAATTATTGATCTGAACGTGGAGAGCAGTCCTTAACTTTTCATCTTTAATTTTCGTGTGCATCAGTTAAGACGGCCGGGTAGGCAAGTGAAGTGCTCAGCTTTTCGTAGTATTTTTAACTTCCAGTATTTACGAGTAAAGTTTACATCAAATCAGAAAAAGTACGACGTTTTTCGATCTGCTAGTAGTGCGACACGTGACTTCTCAGGCCGCATACGTCACACCGACTTCCTTAACTCTCCCGTCCAATACCGTGTTCCTTTTAAGATCTTAACCAGTTTACATATGGGAGTTTTCTTACGCTGTCATACAAGTGGTAGAACTCCTTAGACGTGCAATCAGCAGGGCGTCTAACTGTACGGGGCAACACAACACAGACAAACATCCATGCATTGAGCGGGATTCGAACACAGTATCCAAATATCCTGCTCGGCCAGAAATCAAAACCTGGTCATCTAGCCCGTAGCTTAGTCGCTGTACTGACTGAGTAGTTCAGGGGTTCTAAACCTTTTCATACTTGCAGTCATATTTATAATTCCTAATAATGTATCACCGAATGCCATATTTATTTTCTTAAGCATGTGTCCCTCAAAATGTTCATCACTGAGACTTGTTCCTGAATTGTCGTTCTTCGCTGAGCTGGAAGTAGCTCACAGGTGACACAGTATTATAAAATGTTCACGCGGGCCTCAAAAAACCTGCGAGAAGCATGCAGCCCATGGGCCGCCAGTTGATAACCCCTGGAATAGTCCAACTAAATCCGATTTCCCACGCGCGATGCACTACAGTCGGGACCAATCCGTGTGTTCCATCTCCGTTAGCGGTCCAGTTCAACTGAGCCACTTCGGCTGGTTTCAAGAAACGAACGGGCTGAAACCTGTGCGTGACATTGGGGTTGGAGGAGGGGAACAAATACTGTCTGCTACGCCCGCAGTTAAAGTTATGAGGCGAAATTAATTTCAGTACGTAACCCACATTAGTTCTACAAATTTCTCGTTTCCTTCTGTCGTAAAAAAAAAGTACAATAGCCAAGACCTGTATAATTTTCACCTTTTATCCGAAAAGTTATCCGACATCACAAACATTTTAAAAAGTAAAGCTGCCCCACTTTACGCCATGTAGACGCTTTGGGGGAGGGAAGGTACAGCTCCTATTCAACATTTAAAAGAATAATTTGTGAACGTGCAGTGTAAAATGTAATTCCGTGTCTGTAGTAAATAAAAATCAAGGTTAATAAAGTGTGCATACAGCAATATTCTGTGCAGAAACGGATAAACATTTTCCACTATCGTCTGCAACTTTTTAAAACAATGAAGTAATGTAGTATTTGAACTTTGTACAAGCTACATCAAAGGTCAAACATCAAACACGTCAAATGCTGTTCTGTCACGTGAACAAAGAACATATGTCCCTCTTCCATTCTGAGACGAGGTGAACAAATATTTGTTCCTAAATCACAGGAGAATATATACACAAAAAGCAATATTTTGTATTTATTTCCTTCTTTAAGGATGCCGTGCCTATGGTATGTCAGGCAGATATTAATTAGCCCATGATGGTGACTACAATGGCGAAGGAACTGATTATGACACATATTACTTAAGAAAACGAAATAAAAAACTTGTACCTTGCTACAGTCAGCACTGGATCTGAATACCGAGGCCTAAAAAATGTCCTGAACGAGATGTCCGTATCATTACAAGTATACAATAAAATACAAATCCCCCACACAATTATCACATTCTGATAAATGTAAAACTTTAAATTCGGGAATAAACTGACGTTTTGGGTTATCTGCTATGCAACGAGAACTTCCCACAGTATATAGTCTGAGCTACTGCAAAAGCGTCGTTGAATAGACCATAAATAAATAAAAGTAACTTCACGGCAAATCCCCAGATGACTCCACCTCAAAACGAGCCAATGCAACTAACATGCGTCCAGAGGAGCCCAATTCGATTCCATCTGGCAAGCTGCCATTTTACATGAGGTTTCTCACGGCTTCTCATTTGTTCCACGACTTTATCTTACCTACAAACTGACCACAACCGTTTCTTATGATAAATAACCACCTCAATTACGTCGTAGTTAGATTATCCACAAATCAATCTTTCACATTTCTTTGTTAAATACCACACTGCTGGTATGAATATACTCAAGTTCCATGATTTAATGTAGCACAAAGTCGCCCCGGCTGGAACCAAACTGAGCTCTCCTGTATAACACAGACTCTTCACAATCTAAACACGTAAACATCAAACAGATGTTACTTTGGAGACAACGGAAACAAATTATAGTAGCCTACTTTTATTTTACGCCTGCATACATACTTATTCCTACTTTTAGTTTACACATGTCTGCTGAGTTTAATGCGAAGTCAGCACGACAAATGCTATTGCCATTTCCTAAAACACCGAATAAACACGTCTTCACATATTACCTGCATTTCATTCATTACTTCACTTACCATTCCTGCACTAGGGATCGAGAAGATGACCATCATAGCTGTAATTCCTGCAGTTACTACTAGGCCGTGATTTTTTGTTCCTTCATCTCTCTATTAAAACTTGCAAAGAAAAAGTCTGCAGCCTGATTATATGAACACAAATAGTAAACGTAATTTCACTAACACATTCATAGCACTGTACACACGATAAGACTTGGAGATACCATCCGCAAATGAGATAAGATGTTTACACACGAAATAAACACTTGTTGCACAAAAAAGACACACACCAACTTTCCGACACAAACTAGACAGCAATGCATACAAAAGTAGTTCTACAATCGCCCGCTCTGTGACGCTTTGTATAGCCTGACCGTAGTACTATAATGGCCGGTAGGTGGCAGTACAAACCAATTCCTTTTATCCCGACATCTATTGTCTGTAATAGCAGACTTTGTTTAATTTACAAAATAAATTTCTTATACAAAAGCAAATTTTGTTTGTCTGTTAGCACTCCCACGTAACCCTTTCAAACCGAAGCTTATCTTCATATCTAAACATCAGACCACATCTCGAAGAAAACACAAAATATAACCGCTACAAATCAAGTACTTAATGCTGTGAGATTTCAGATTCTCACAATGGCAAGTATGAAAATCTGTCTTCTGCTTTGTAGGGCCATTCTGATGATGGTGGCAGCAAGCATCTCTGATGATAGCCACTTTCATATTGAATCTTGCCAGAACGTGAAATCTCAATTATTTTCTGCTGGGCAACAAAAAATCGCATGTTACCCAGCAGCCCTGAGGATGAGAGCAAAAGTTTCTCTCGAAACATTGGCAGAAGACTTATTTACCATTCAGCCACCTGATACAGCTTGTAACCTGAGTCTTTCATCAAATATAGCAAAAATAATGCGTAGCTTACCATTATTTACCTGCAGAATATCCCTAGTTATGCAAAAACAAGAGTTTCTCAGAAATCACAGCATGAAAATATGCCGATCTTGAGATACCAAAAATTTTGTTCAAAGAAAAGAAAATTGCTTCAATTCCACTATATCAGTTTATGCCTAGACAATTGACACAATTCTATCCCTTGCTCATTCTTGCAACAGTTTCCAGGCTTATTCGCATGTCACACCTAAAACAAAAGTTGTAAGCAGTTAGTATTGCAATAGGATTAGGATGGACAATGTCAAAAAAACAGGATTCTGGAACACACATTTCAAATCACTGCATTTCAGACAACTAAGAAAGTGTATTTGATACAAAAGCTACCTTACTTTTTCGTAATATTTCACAAAAATTAACTTAGTACAAACATTCCTTCTTGCTTCAGAGGCAGTGAGTTAGCTGAATCCACAAATATTACTCTAAAATAAAAATAAAAAGAAGATATTTTAAAAGTTATACAAAGGTAGTGGCGGTGGGGAGGGCAGTATTCTCCTATTGGTTTCTTTTGATTTGTTTCCCCACACAATAATCAATAACAATCAATAAAATATTTACAGTATACCATTATTATTCACAGTAGCATGAGTCTGCATGTCTTTTGATTCTGACTATGGGCACACAAAACAATTTCTATTTCCAACTTATATGTCACCTCAGTTAAAATATTTTTCCTATGTACTTCTCTACTACAGTTACTTGTGTAATGATAATGTCCCAACATTTTCCCACACTTGGATATAAGTTTGCTTCTCAGAAGAAAATTTTTTTTTAACTAGTCTCATGTTCGAAGGTGCCGAGGAGGATATGGGATGGGCTTAATCTCCATACTAATTACATAACTAGATTCATAATTATTTGTATCCTTGTCTCCATATATTAGGCACCATCTTGACAAGACAGTTGAGAAATATCACACACTGAGGATGCCAAAAAGACAAAAAAAACCCTGCAAATTACAAACACATGAAGGAAGATACAAACTAAAAAACTAATTGTAATATTCACTGAGGAATCAATATCTAAGCTGCATTCATGTCTCTCCCTTGTCACAGTGGATCTATGCATAATGCTCACTCGTTTTAAGTCCTGAATGTTTTTAACACAATGTTGAAACTTCAGGAGGTATGCAGTAATATCAATTATATATGAAGAGGCAAACCCTCCTCAAGATGGTCACTTAACACAACACTCAGTAAAAAATAGAGATTCACCTACGCAGCGATATCTGATATAATTATCTTATACAATAGTGAACCCTCCTCCTTCGAGGGTTTGTGTATCATGATTTTGCCTACTCATGGCTGCCCACCCGTGTCAGTACCTACATAGATATCACGCCACATCGAGTGTATTTTGTAATTTTTGCAGTTCTTAAAACTGATGTTTTTTCCATGTGTTTAACCACCCTGCCAACTCTCAGCCATGAACACCAATGTCATATAAATAAATACCAACAATGGTTTCAAGTTTATTGATCATTTATTAATGTTATTTTAATAATTAAAATTTTTTTTTATTAATTTTAAGTATCATTTCACGAGGGTCCGCAGTGGCCGCGCGGTCTGAGGCGTGGGCCTTGTGCCGCTTGGACCGTGGGTTCGAATCCCACTCAAGCCATGGATGTTTTTCTGTGTTGTGCTGTCCTGCGTACAGGTAGAGGCCTTGCGACGGGCCGATCCCTCGTCCAAGGAGTCCTACCGAATGTCCATAGATCAAGCCAACTAATAAAAATTTTGGGACCCGTAAAATGTAGAAACATTGTTAAACCGGAAAAAGAAGAAGTATCATTTCACAATTTTGAATATCATGTTTTATGCATTCGTGATCCCCTAATACCATTTTTTCTGTAAGGTCTTAACTTTGCACTTCACAGCTTTACCATTCACGGAAATTTTAAAGAATGTTACCTCTGTGAACACAAGAAAATAATTTCTCCTACTCTCACTCCATGATTATATGATATACTGCTGAAAGGTGTTACCTTTAGTCTTGCGCATTTTGAACTGCCACAGAACCCTTTCATTTTTGTGGAAAAGCCTATGGACGAAATAACTTCTGTACTATAAAACAAAATGTCATGCTGCGACAATTGTATCAGAATAATACATTTACTGATGGGAGAAGATAATTTGATAGTTATTAGCATGCAGGTGAAGAGGTAAGCTGGTAAGAGAGAAAGTAATGCACACTTCCATTAAACAATAGAGGAAGGCAGACCATTTGAAGTTCTAGAAAAGTGATTCAAAGCAAGGAGAAACATTATCAGAAGGGTGACTGAGCATTGCCATGTAGAAACATAATAAACGTTTATCTGTGTGTACTCAGAAGAGAAAGAGACGTGTATTACGATTTGGAAAATAAGTGAATAAAAGCCAAACAGCCCACAAAGAGCACCTGGCCTGAGAAGGTACAAATGTTATTGATAAACAATTCTGGTTATTCCCCACTTAATGGTACCTGCACCTTGTCCTGGTGGTGGGCCTTGAGTACCTTAGTGGCGGTAGCATACCTACTGGTAGGGCCTCCCTAGCCAGATTGGTTGAGGAGGAGAGGTCAGACTAAGACAGGTACCCTGGTCCTCCAGGTTGAGGGTTGGTCGCAAGGCTTAACAACCTTGCACCGTAAAAAGGAAGATGTTTTGAAACCTCAACCTCGGACAGACGGACCTAACAAGAGGACCAAATGGAAGAGGAGAATTGAAGAGGCCATGGACCGAATATGGACTGGAGAGCCATAGAAGAAGAATTCTTGTTATTACCATGCTGTTGTTCATTGCAGCAGCATAGTAGACGAACCAAATTTCTTTTTGCTTTTAACATGTATCATAAACAGTCTTTGTAAATATTTAAACTCTCTACACTCGTTACACTATAGTTGTTATAGTAGCCAAAGTAAAACGATGTTACAAGTAGAGGAATGCCTGAAAAACCGTAGTTGGTGACTTTTGACAAAAGAACTATAAAATACAGGACAGGATTAGTCCTATTTGAAGCAAGAAATAATATAATTATAATGAAAATCAAACTCAGAAAGAACAAAGGATTCATAATGAACTGTGGCACAGTTAAAGACTCTTCTTTAATGTACTGGGAGAATAAAATAAATGATACAGCACGACTAGTAACCCAACAGCAAACATATATTCAGAGGTGTGACTGCTTGTTGAAAATGACATTATTTTATTGACCTTACTGCATGCAAGAAAGGTGACAAGATCTGAGATGGGAAAGTCTGTGAGAAGCTGAAAGACAAGGTGAAGAAAATAATCAATAAAATGGACCTTCTACTTAGCAATGCTTGGGAGGTAAGGCATTGTTAATACCCAGGATTTGAGGTTCTTGCATTCTTAGTATGCTTTGATACACAGGTAGGAAGACTTGGAGGGGGGGTTTAATCTAGCATCCCAAGACCACCAGGTACCTGAAACAGAAATTTAATCAAAGGAAATAAATACTTGCATCCTCAGTGGGTGACTTGATCTGCACCTACCATCACATAAATAAACACAACTCGTAGAAGAAGTTAAACTATTAAATGTGGGTTTTGCAAATACAAATCGCATAATTTGTAAAAAGTTTATAAATACTGTTAACTTTACACTTTCTCTGCTGGATACAAAATTCAACACATGCACGCCACTCTCTGCAGATTAATGCTAACATTGCACAGACAACAACAACACCACCATCACACCATTATGAGAAACTTTATAATTTTCCTTCTGCAACAGTCTCAGACAAATTCTGAACACATTCATCACCTGTGTGTCTGCGCAAGCCTTGCTGTTACTGTCTACGAGTTTAAATTCACGCAAAGGCTCCAGAGTCCAAGATGGTGGTCAGCATGTTAGTCTAAAAGATATGCACAGCAAGGCAACTCCAATGGTTTGCAGTCCTGTGGATTTATATTTGAACAAACACTATTAACAAATTCAGCCCCGGCTCTGTTTCACAGTAAAGACAACCCTGGAAGTCTTTACATAACATGGGAACATTACAAAACATTACTGAATGTCTAATTCAACAGCATAGCAAGAATCAAAATTCCTGAAACACAGCGATCATACAGCATACAGACAATATTTATTACAGCTGGCATATTTTTAGATTCTCCAGAAACCTGTGACATGATTATATTGGACACAACCCACCGTCCGAGGCACAGCATCCGTTATGATTAGGGGACACCCATATAAAACAACATACCCAGATAAGACGGCCATTTCTTGCTATTCTGATACTGCATGTTACATCAGCATCAATGTCAAGTAACATTTTTTGTGGCAAAACCTGATTTTTCAATACCCTTATGTACATACCTCTGTAATTTGCATTACCTACCTATACCTATGTGCATTTCCGGAGCCATTTTGGGGTAGAACAGACATTGTTTCAGGAATCTTCATTTTTCAAGGGAACATGCCTTCAAAACTATGATTTCTTTATAATGCCTCAACCACTGGTTTTTAGTTTGTTATTAAAAGTAATCAGAGTTGAATTAAAAGCCAATTTGTCTCAAGTGGTTTGTTTTACACAAGTCTCCCATGCTCATTATACTGGAAACTGCTTCCTTATAATAATATATGTAAACCAAGTTTTTTTTTTTTCCATCTGTATAGTTGTGAGACATGGACTAATGCCTTGAGTAAAGAACATAATCTGCAAATATCTTAAAACAAAGCACTGCAGAGTTGAAAAAATCTGAGAATTAATCAAATTACAGTATATAAAAAAAGACACCCTTCCCTTGCCCAATGTTGTTAACCCCTTCAAATCCAAATTATTAATACCTGGATTATAAAACAAATTGTTTTTGTTTCATGGAAAAAGATATTCACATCATATTTTTTTAATTGTGCTAATTATTTCTCTGAGTAACTTGAAAGGGTTAAGTGAGGTTATGATCTACCTTAACCTCAACTTGACAGTATCTGGAGTACATGCAGTTAAATCAAACAGATGGTTTAACTGAACAGGTTCAACTGCAGGCCTAGATGTTACAAAGTAATGGCCCTTCTAGATTTTATTACCATGAAATTAGTTTTTTTTATTCTTCTAGCAATGGCCAGGTTAGATGCTGGGACTCTCTGAATACTGATACAGTATGCAAATAGCAAAATAGGATATTCACAGGATCTCTGGGTTTGATGCCAGTGGTCCCCAAGATATGAATAATTTAACGGCAAACAGTCAAATATACACTATCCAAAACAATCATGTCACTGAATGTCAATGTTGGTATTCTCACAGTGGGCATACGCAGTCTCAGAGATTCCAATATAATCAAGATAGGAGCCATAACCACATGTTAGAACATGGGATTTGCTTCATGTACAGTTTATACACACATGCATACACAAGTACATTCAAACATTTACATAAAATAAAAGAACTAATAATATAACAAGTAATATAAATATATATAATGTAACAAACAGAGCCAGTTTTGAGTGGAACCTGTTAGAAACATGTCATTCCATATTTCTTACTTCTATGTGGCAGATCAAATAAACAAACTTTATCATATCTGCAGTGGCAACACAACAGAATCCATTTTTCTATTACAGCTTCTTTAATGGTTGTTGGAAGAAGGCACTTTAGGGTTTTTATCAGCCCTAATAAATTCTAAATGACATTTTCTCTCAATTGTTATTACCATGCTGTTGTTCATTGCAGCAGCATAGTAGACGAACCAAATTTCTTTTTGCTTTTAACATGTATCATAAACAGTCTTTGTAAATATTTAAACTCTCTACACTCGTTACACTATAGTTGTTATAGTAGCCAAAGTAAAACGATGTTACAAGTAGAGGAATGCCTGAAAAACCGTAGTTGGTGACTTTTGACAAAAGAACTATAAAATACAGGACAGGATTAGTCCTATTTGAAGCAAGAAATAATATAATTATAATGAAAATCAAACTCAGAAAGAACAAAGGATTCATAATGAACTGTGGCACAGTTAAAGACTCTTCTTTAATGTACTGGGAGAATAAAATAAATGATACAGCACGACTAGTAACCCAACAGCAAACATATATTCAGAGGTGTGACTGCTTGTTGAAAATGACATTATTTTATTGACCTTACTGCATGCAAGAAAGGTGACAAGATCTGAGATGGGAAAGTCTGTGAGAAGCTGAAAGACAAGGTGAAGAAAATAATCAATAAAATGGACCTTCTACTTAGCAATGCTTGGGAGGTAAGGCATTGTTAATACCCAGGATTTGAGGTTCTTGCATTCTTAGTATGCTTTGATACACAGGTAGGAAGACTTGGAGGGGGGGTTTAATCTAGCATCCCAAGACCACCAGGTACCTGAAACAGAAATTTAATCAAAGGAAATAAATACTTGCATCCTCAGTGGGTGACTTGATCTGCACCTACCATCACATAAATAAACACAACTCGTAGAAGAAGTTAAACTATTAAATGTGGGTTTTGCAAATACAAATCGCATAATTTGTAAAAAGTTTATAAATACTGTTAACTTTACACTTTCTCTGCTGGATACAAAATTCAACACATGCACGCCACTCTCTGCAGATTAATGCTAACATTGCACAGACAACAACAACACCACCATCACACCATTATGAGAAACTTTATAATTTTCCTTCTGCAACAGTCTCAGACAAATTCTGAACACATTCATCACCTGTGTGTCTGCGCAAGCCTTGCTGTTACTGTCTACGAGTTTAAATTCACGCAAAGGCTCCAGAGTCCAAGATGGTGGTCAGCATGTTAGTCTAAAAGATATGCACAGCAAGGCAACTCCAATGGTTTGCAGTCCTGTGGATTTATATTTGAACAAACACTATTAACAAATTCAGCCCCGGCTCTGTTTCACAGTAAAGACAACCCTGGAAGTCTTTACATAACATGGGAACATTACAAAACATTACTGAATGTCTAATTCAACAGCATAGCAAGAATCAAAATTCCTGAAACACAGCGATCATACAGCATACAGACAATATTTATTACAGCTGGCATATTTTTAGATTCTCCAGAAACCTGTGACATGATTATATTGGACACAACCCACCGTCCGAGGCACAGCATCCGTTATGATTAGGGGACACCCATATAAAACAACATACCCAGATAAGACGGCCATTTCTTGCTATTCTGATACTGCATGTTACATCAGCATCAATGTCAAGTAACATTTTTTGTGGCAAAACCTGATTTTTCAATACCCTTATGTACATACCTCTGTAATTTGCATTACCTACCTATACCTATGTGCATTTCCGGAGCCATTTTGGGGTAGAACAGACATTGTTTCAGGAATCTTCATTTTTCAAGGGAACATGCCTTCAAAACTATGATTTCTTTATAATGCCTCAACCACTGGTTTTTAGTTTGTTATTAAAAGTAATCAGAGTTGAATTAAAAGCCAATTTGTCTCAAGTGGTTTGTTTTACACAAGTCTCCCATGCTCATTATACTGGAAACTGCTTCCTTATAATAATATATGTAAACCAAGTTTTTTTTTTTTCCATCTGTATAGTTGTGAGACATGGACTAATGCCTTGAGTAAAGAACATAATCTGCAAATATCTTAAAACAAAGCACTGCAGAGTTGAAAAAATCTGAGAATTAATCAAATTACAGTATATAAAAAAAGACACCCTTCCCTTGCCCAATGTTGTTAACCCCTTCAAATCCAAATTATTAATACCTGGATTATAAAACAAATTGTTTTTGTTTCATGGAAAAAGATATTCACATCATATTTTTTTAATTGTGCTAATTATTTCTCTGAGTAACTTGAAAGGGTTAAGTGAGGTTATGATCTACCTTAACCTCAACTTGACAGTATCTGGAGTACATGCAGTTAAATCAAACAGATGGTTTAACTGAACAGGTTCAACTGCAGGCCTAGATGTTACAAAGTAATGGCCCTTCTAGATTTTATTACCATGAAATTAGTTTTTTTTATTCTTCTAGCAATGGCCAGGTTAGATGCTGGGACTCTCTGAATACTGATACAGTATGCAAATAGCAAAATAGGATATTCACAGGATCTCTGGGTTTGATGCCAGTGGTCCCCAAGATATGAATAATTTAACGGCAAACAGTCAAATATACACTATCCAAAACAATCATGTCACTGAATGTCAATGTTGGTATTCTCACAGTGGGCATACGCAGTCTCAGAGATTCCAATATAATCAAGATAGGAGCCATAACCACATGTTAGAACATGGGATTTGCTTCATGTACAGTTTATACACACATGCATACACAAGTACATTCAAACATTTACATAAAATAAAAGAACTAATAATATAACAAGTAATATAAATATATATAATGTAACAAACAGAGCCAGTTTTGAGTGGAACCTGTTAGAAACATGTCATTCCATATTTCTTACTTCTATGTGGCAGATCAAATAAACAAACTTTATCATATCTGCAGTGGCAACACAACAGAATCCATTTTTCTATTACAGCTTCTTTAATGGTTGTTGGAAGAAGGCACTTTAGGGTTTTTATCAGCCCTAATAAATTCTAAATGACATTTTCTCTCAAATTTATGCCCTCCACATTAAATAATGCAGACAGGCCCAAAGTCTTGCATAATAAGCATTGTGAATCTGCTTTCTTCTTTGAAGATGGCTGTCTTCTGGATTGTATCTACTCTGGTAGAGGATTACTGATGTTACAGAAGTGCTTCCAGCTTCCATCATCAGGAGCAAGCACCTCTAAAATATCAGTAAACTTGTTCCAGGCTACACAACACTAGAACCCAGAAGAGACCCCTCTTGATGTTCACCACCATAAAGACCTCAAATTCTGCTTAGTTCTCATTTCCAGAAACATTAATATCATAAGATAAATGTAAAGTAAGAAGGTGAAGTTAGTTTACACATATAAGAATGATGATGCTTCATGTCAATCTAATGTCTCCTACCTCTACAAAATTAAATTTTCCTCTAAGAGTAAAAATTTTGTTATGAACATTTCTGTACACAAAAAAACAGTTCAGGATCAAGATAATCTTTTACTCAAGTGAAACAATAATTTTTCATTATTTAATACAATTCTGTAAACCTTTTTTTTTACTAGGATAGATGCTCTACAACTGAACTATATTTTCTCAATTTATCAGAAGATGTGGGCAAGGTTATAACTAAATAATTAAACAATTTGTGTTCAGAAATCTATAAATGTACACAAGAATATCTCGAACAAAATTTATGAATATGCTGCCTTCTGCCAACAACAAATGTTTAACAAATTAAACAAGAAAGAAATCCCTCTAAATCTCCACCAAGATTCCACACACAAATGCCAACAAAAATCCATACTGGTCCTTTGATCTTCATCACATATTCACCTTTTAGCAATAATTGTTGCACAACTGGAAGATTTAATGTAAAATTGTTTGCATCTGGGTCTCTATGACACCAGGCACCAATACCCAGGAAAAGCAACAAATTTCCAAGATATATTTATCTCACCATCTACTTCTGTGATGAAACAAGTCACATATTTTCACAAAACCGCTAGGCTACCATTGTTCACCTAGCTATCTAGCCATCTGAAAATTCCTAGCCTTTTAAGGCACAAGTGTCATACTTCGGAGACTAATGTTGCTCATTGTCCTCATAATTTCAGTATGGCTCTGTGTGCCAGGGTTCCCAATCAATTCTCTGCAGGTAAATATATTCAGAATATGTATCAGGATTAAGACTTTGGTCTGAAGCCCGAAACAAATCACAAATTAACCTTATCCAGATTTCTTACATAAAATCAATTGTAATGGCTTTATATCATGTGGAGCAAACCTTTCAAATGAACACACACTTCACGTGACCCCAATGCGCTCAGAAAGCATTCCTGGACCAAAGACCATTCAGTTGCTCTGTGTAAGAGACATATGCCTCAGATTTTAAAAGAACTCTGTGCTCAAAAAGCAAAGACTGAGTTTCCTAGCAGTCAGTAATGACTGCAAAATGGATATCACTGAAATGCACCAAGACCCATAAGGAATTTTAATGTGATTAGGTATTCACTTCAATGGCAATCAGTCATGTGATGTGATGAGTAACAAGCTGCTTGTTGTACAGTGAGATTTTTTTAAGCAACCCAGAAAATCATGTAACAGATACAATGTGTGTATATAAAAGTTTAGGTTAACAACCTTGCACCATAAAAAGGAAGATATTTCGAAACTTCAATCAAAGCCTCAGACAGACGGACCTAACAGAGGACCGAATGGAAGAGGAGAATTGAGGAGGCCATGAACCGAATACGGACCGGAGAGCCATAGAAGAAGATATAAACTTCTAAGGAGGTTCTAGGAATATGTATGGAGCAATACATACCTTGCCATTTCTAAACGTTACTGTTCTATGCAGCTAAAGAAAAATCTTTTTACTATTACACTGCTAAGAAAGGATACCTCCATTGTTCTAGTTTCCCTTGTATATTCTACAAGCCAAGTGTTAGCTACAGTGCAAGTAAACCTCTATGTAGTGTAGTACAGTATAGGATCATACATAGTATAGTATAGTACAGTCAAAACAAAATGCGTGAGATACTGGCATCACTATAACATGACAACAATCATCCAATAATCAAATTTGATGCATGTTTCTAACCTCAAAGTCATGTCAACAACCGACATGTTAAATGGCACGACTGCTCTCTTTGCCTATATTCCTAGCAAAACATGCTATAAAAAACAATAAGCATCTCTTCAAGGGTGGCGGAGTCTGTGTTTATTTTATGCATCATTCCAAACAATGCCACTGCAATTAATGGCATATAAACACGTTACTTAAAAGTTACTTTCTGGCCAGGTACGTACTAACTTATTACAAGTTTAAAGAATCAAGGGGCAACTAAATTATTTTCACATACTTCCACTAGTCACAACTGAATACTTAGTGCGTTACTGTTACACCAAAATTTGTAAATTGTGTGATTTGAGGTTCTCGTGGCAGGGAGTAGGAAGACAACTGCTATCTTCTGGGTTGTAAAGCAGTGTAGTCTGGTAGAAGTTTACAAACATTTCAGAGGTGTGTGTTGTCTCCATCATCAGGCTAATGAGCCCTGATGATGAGCTTATTACTCTCTTAAACATTAGTAAACTTCTACCATACTACAAGGTGCTACAACCCAGAAGACAGAAATTTATCTCTATATTATGTATAAGCAGTAAAGACAGGAAACAAACAGTGTGAATTATAATAAACCTCCAGTAAATATACTATCTGATGCGCATCGTTATGCATCACCTGCATTGATAAACCAAACTCAGTTCTCATCCCTTACCGCCTATGATACACACCCAATTATACCCCCGATGTGAAATCACACCTACAAAGTATGAGTTAGACCTTGATCCACCCAATCCGTGACAACCAACCTCCAGTTATGAAACACACAAGTCTACCCATAAGTTCGAAATCCAAAGTAGTGTGCAGAGAGATATAAATGACAATGTGGGTAAGGGCCTCTTCCCAGTTTAAAACTAAAGAGTAAGTGGTACAATAACCTCCATAAAATGATTTCTGTCAACATTTTTAAAGACATGGCAGAACGACTTGAATCAAAGGAAGTACGACAATGTTAAAATATGACTGAACATTCATTGTTTTGCGTGAAGAACAGTGAGGATCAGTGTAATTCTTTACAGTCATTACATATTTCCTTCTACCACACACTAACTGTGCTTGTGCACATGTGCACATTAACACCACACAAGGTTAGTAAGAAGGCGGATCAGTGATGTGTATAGAAATTTTTGTGAAAGAGGCTTAAAGCCAGTTGATATTCATCAAAGACTTATAGTGAAGTTTCAAGATGACACACTGCTGAAAGCACATACGAGTGGTAATGTAATTCATTCTGCGACAGTTGTGAGACACCGAGTAATCTCATTGAGTTCTAAAGATGCTGACACCTTATTAGAAAGCTGGAACGTCACAGCTGGGAATGGGTTCATTTCTTGGCTGGACTGTGAAATGTGGCAAGACAAAGGTCATTTAATACACATCTGATAGCAAACAGGCAAGTACAAAATCTTTCACAGCTAAAAAATTTAAAACCAGAAGTATACGGGTAAGGTCATTTTTTTAAGAACAATAATGTGGTAAATGTGCACCATCATTCTAATAACCTGAAAACAAAGGTGAAGGCAGCAATGAGTGCATCAAAAACGTTGAGAAAAGAAAAATTCTTCACGAAAATGCTTAGCCCCATACACCAAAGACCATCACCACATTCAACATTCTGAAATGGAATATCACAGATGTCCCCAGATTTCCACTTCTCTGTACAGCTGAAAGAATTTTTGGGAGAAGAGGAGTTTTACACCAACACATTAGTGCAGGTATGTGCATGGCTACCAACCCTTACCACAAGCACTGGACAACTTTTGTATATGTAGGGACCACGCAACTAATGAAGATGTTAATTTATGCATTTCTCGCCAGTACTGAGGCAACAATCTAATGAACGTTATACTGGGAGATAACTTGAGTTCACATGAGCAACATATTTTAGAACTGAGTCGTGAGAATAAATCATCTCTTTTGATTACCACTAGAAAAACGCAGTGAGACAATGGTCTGCCATAATGTGCGAAAGAATATACTGATTTTCCAACTCGCCATTGATTTAAAAATGTACCAGAAGAATCTACCGTGTGGAATGGGTTTTAGTTTTATCAGACTAAAAATTATGTATTATACAAACATCACAATAAAAATAAATGATAAAGAAACGAAAATAACTCATTCAGATTCAAATAACACAATGATAAGTCCTTTCATGCTTCTTCTAGAGTGTCTTCAAAAGTAATTAACTTTGTGTTTGGGCAACGAACATCCATCTGTCACCATACAATTTCTTATACCATAAAAGAACACAGATCCAGATATAATTAGCCACATATTTCCTCCACAGAGCAAAATTCTGACAATTTACAAACTTGTCTGTGATTTTGTAAAAGAATCATCATAGGAAATGTATGATATCATCAACTTTGTCAACAATTATGCCCCATCAGAACCAACAGATTTATTTTGTAGCCAACGACATTTCCCCTCAATAATTTCACCTATCTTGCAGGAAAGTCATTGCAGATGAGTTTATTTACAAATTGAGAAGGTGACCTATTTCAAAATTTGGGAAACCCTGCAGTGAAGTGAACTTAGTTAATAGTTTGTCAGTCTCATCAAAAGGGTTACTGACTGCAGATCCCCTTATAACATGATCCGCTCCATCGTCCTTGAGCTGCTCGACCTTAGCAGTTTGTACAGCTCAACGCAAATCTATCAAATCCAGTGAACCTACCAACTATCATATACCTGTCAGTTTTTTTGAGATCATACTGGTGATTGTACTTCCAATGTCATCACTCCTATTTCTCTTTGACATCACAACGCATTGTGTCAATCTTCGCACATATCTTGAGGGCTGGACCGAGTTTCATGGACATTGCGGTCATCAGGTGGTCCTCCTTTAACAACAGGAGAGCCTGTCCATCAATCTCTTGGATAGCAAAGTCTTCCACGTAGTCTGAGCAGCCGGGGAGAGTCCGGATAAACTCACAAACATCTGAAACCTAAAACATCAAAAGCCAACATTAATGCAAGATTCCACAGAAGAAAACTAATGTATGAGAAATGTGAGTGGCTGATAGGACCAAGCAATCAAGATGAATTTTCTAACTAATCAACCAAATGTTTGTTAAAAAGCTAATAATGTACACCCTCCTCTAATGCAGGGTTATCCAAAGATCCAATTGCATGCGTGAAAATAAATGAAAACAATTACTTCTGAGCACGGAAAATAACAATGCTGCTTTAAAAGGTAAAGATGCTTTAGCTTTTGAATATGTATTTAAATAACCAACTTGTATCTCGAACCTAAAAGTTTGTGATGATATTTAATTATTTAAATAAAAAGTTTTTTGGATGTTATCCATCGTCTAATAAAATAATAAAATTGAATGTTTCAGAGATGGGTCTCTATCTCTGTCTTCCTTGTCCAGAGATATGGATTAGCTCTATCGATTGGGCCCAACAGAGTAGGTTACCTGAAGACGGAGATAGAGTCCCTCCCATCTCTGAAACATCATTCAATTTTATTATTTTATTTTATTTACATTTTTGTTTTACTGAGCTGTCATCCTGCAATTTATTATTACTCCTGCGTCTTCCACTCTCACCTTATCTCAAAAACTGCATGTAACCAGCAGCCTCAGTCTCTCTTACGTCATTACTGTGTTAAATTGTGTCATATTGTTTTCCCAAATTTTACTGTTTATTGCCCTCGGAAAGCATTGTGCATTCAAGATATAAAAGTGAAAGCAATAATGAAGCAAAGGAGTGTTGTTAGGACACGACACTAGATAAAAAAATAAAGATTCTAGAAGAGTTGCATGGTGGTATGAGTGCAGCACTTGGTCTAACATTCCATTGACATTTTATTTTAAACTCTTTCTGTTGGTATTTTACATTAACAGTTAAACTTTCCGGTGATACAATTACGTCAAACAATCTTCTGTTCAGAGGCCGTGTACAATGTGTGACACAAAGCTTCTCTTTGATTAATGTCAGCCTTTATGCAGTTTAACTTTTTACACAAACATGGCTCGGAGAACCAGCCATTGTGGTACAACCACTAAACTGTGCTAGACTGTGAGAGCTAGGGTAGCTCAGCCAGTACAGTATCTAACTATGGACACGAAGATCAGGTTTTGTCCAGATAAGCTCTGGGGGGAACCCCACTCCCTCCAACTAAACGGGATACTGGGAGATCCTTCCCCTTGTGATAAAGCGAGGGCTGGGGTGTGACCACTCACTTCCATCTAGTACTGAGGTCAATAATGAGTAGGAGCCCCCACCCACAAGATACCGTCAGGGCGTGTACTTTTAGTTCTGAACTGGATTGTATGATGTAACAGTTTATTTTCTTATAAATAAATAAACAGTAAACTACACAGCAAACTGACCGTCCACTTCAAGGGGTTCACCCTCTGCGCAGGTTGTGTGGCTGGTGTCACAGATTCTGAAGCAGAACTGTCTTCCATATCAACAGATGGAACATCAGGTACTTCAGAAGGTGACAGAGAACTCTCAGGTCCAGATGCTGCTGAATCGTTCGTATCTGTGTTCTCATCTGTAGCACCAGTTGTCCCTTCAGGTTGTCCATTTGCCTGTAACAAGTACAATGCATTCATAGTCTGAAACAATAGAATAGTGGGGAAATAAATAACGAATAATTCTTGCATCAAAAATGTTCTGTTTAGAATTAAATAAAGTACATCAAAACGCCCATTAGGACGTAACATTTGTGGCACTGGATCTCCTGAAACTTTGTAACACTTCAGTCATGCATAAGAGACAGGTATGGATGATTCTCACAAAAAATATTGTGATGGAAAGTGTTTGATATTTTATGAGAAAGCACAATGTCCCTCAGCTAAAAAACACAATACTGAAATGAAATTACAGGATTCAAAGGTAGTAAGGTGCCAACGATAAGAATCATCAACATTATTAAAACAGATTTAGATTATACAAACAGTGACATCCCCTAATTAATGGTACCTGCACCTTGTCCTGGTGGTGGGCCTTGAGTACTTAGTGGCAGTACCATACCTACTGGTAGGGCCTCCCTAGCCAGATTGGTCGAGGGGGAGAGGTCAGACTAAGACAGGTACCCTGGTCCTCCAGGTTGGGGGTTGGTTGCAAGGCTAACAACCTTGCACCGTAAAAAAAAAGATGTTTCAAAATCTCAATCAAAGCCTCAGACAGACGGACCTAACAGAGGACCGAATGGAAGAGGAGAATTGAGGAGGCCATGGACCGAATACAGACTGGAGAGCCATAGAATAAAAAACAGTGACATCCATTAAATAAGGGTAACAAATGTCATCAATCACATCATGCCACGTCCTTGGGTTGTGGATGGAAGAGAAGGCCTCTAGGTAAGGAGGGAAGCTGTAAATATATACAACAGTTGCAGACAGCCAATAAGTGTGGTCCTCCAGCATGCAGACAGGTGAGAGAGCTATTAACTATGAATAAATAATAAATATGAAATGTTACACAGGGACTTGGATGGATTCTTTCAAATGACCTACGCAATCATACAGTATTAATAACATTTTCATAATTAAATGTTTTATAACCTGCAACGCAAGTAAATCTTAATTTAAAATGAACGGCAATGCAGCAAATCAGAAGCTACGTCTTACTCAGCACATCCTATATACAGGTTGCAGTAATGTCTGCATGACCTTCAACCTCAGAATTAACACACAATTCATTAGGGTCACCAGACAGCCTCACATTCTTGCAAATTTGTCACAACGTAATTGTTGTTGAGGTGTTAAAAATACTTGTGACGATGGGACAAAAAAAAACCCAATGACATAATACAAAGTTCACTCTTTGTTTGCAATGATCACAGACAAATATAAGAAAAATGACTACAGTTTTAACATATACTGTGTTGAATGCACTCACTTGCAAAGTCTCTATGAGACAAACCACCACCAGCGATAGAATTAACAGTCAAAATATACAAAGCTTTTGTCAGAAAAAGAACTGCAGGATATTTAAACTTCCATACCACGATTAGTAATGATTAAAAATGGAATAGACTGTACATCTTCACAGCATACCAAACCATTAACATTATCTTACAAACCAGTTATGCAAATGACGGCCAAAGTTCTGATGTACTGTATTTAAATCACGCAGTCTCATGTGATGCAGAGGCCAAATGTATATATAATGAGTACGTCTCTGATGGTAATGAAGAGTTAAATTTTAAATCAAAGAATGATATACCATGAGTGTGCTATTCTTATCTTGATATGACCACTTCTAGACTTAATGATAACTATGGAATAAACATAAATATGCCAGGCAAGTAACAATAATATAGCAGCTTCCTGCAGTATAATATATGACATCAGGAAGTCAAATGCTCTGGAATACATGCAGGTTCATAGAAGCAGAAGTAAAGTACTTTATTAGGAGAGTGACTAGTGATTAGGTACCATAAGTGGCATTCTATAGCACTGACAGCCATATTCAGACTCACCACTGAGAAACCAAAAGTCCTACTTATGGACAGAAATCTTCAGCCAGGGGAAGACTTTATATTCTCATGGTGGCCATCTCATAAGTTGATGCGCCATGTAGTCTGGTATAAGTTTACTGATGTTTGAAAGGTTTTTCCTGCCTCCATCATCAAAGTGATTGCCATCACGATGATGGATGCTTGTGAAACCAGGGCTGTGGAGTCGGAGTCAGTAAAAATGTATCGACTCCGACCTCAATATAAAATCTTAAGAACAATTTCTATACCGTGTGAGCCGCCAGCGACCTCACGCTTAGGGAGATTCAACGACATGTTGAGCCACAAGGTGTGGGAATAATTCTTTGTAACTTTGGCTCCGATACCTTAAGAATACAAACTGTCTACAAATCAACCGATTTCTGCAATAACCATTAGATGTATATTTAAATATAGGTTATAAGTCTAAGAGTAGGCTGATGATTCACGTGGTGGAAATCTCTTATGGTGCCATTTACCATTTTAGTAGGTTTACCCTTATTAATACATATTGAGCTTTTATGAAGTGGTCGGAGTCGGAGATTTTAGTACCGACTCCACAGCCCTGTGTGAAACACTGGTAAACATCTACCATCCTAAAATAAAACAACCCAGGAGACAGTCATCTTCAGCCAGTGTACTCGAATGTCTCCCATGAGCACACTGATATTGATACTTATTAAGTCTGTTAGTTAAAGTTTACAATCTTGACATGACTCCCTGGACTTATGTCCACTTCTAAATATCTTTATATTTGTTTTACCATTTTACGTTCTCTACTTTTATTTTAAACTTTACCACTATCTCCACTCTTTGTTACTCCTCCTCATATTACCTCACTGATCTGAGTCAATACCAGTAAATTTTATGCCTACAAGCTCCTCTGTCGCACTTTCTTACCCCACATCTCAGTATGTGGCCCCAGCTTTCTTATTTACAACCCAGGAAATCTTCCCTGGTCTGTAATCTGCAGATAACCCATTTTCTACAATCCCATGAAGAAATGCTCCTGAGAAAAATATTACGGAATTAAGTGTCCATAGCCTAATTTGAGATATTATCTCAGCATTTGCCTGGTGTCCGATGAAACCCATGAAAAACCTCAGTGAGGATAGCCAGTCTCTGGGTTGAAAAGACCCAAATAAAGTGAGGTCTGATGTATAAAGTGAAGCTTTTGCGGCAACTTTAGTTGATGAACGATGCTGGAGCTGTAACCCAAGAATCTTTCAAGTGAGGTCTGTAAGTTACTACAAGGAGTGGCTCCCGACTTACCCAGTCCTGAGCTTTGCCAGTTGGTTTCTGCCACTGTTGCTCCTTCATATCAGACAATGTTCCCTTCTTTGACTGTGCCTCTGCAGACTGATTTGAATTTGGCTTGAACATTCCCAGCCGCTTGCTGCAACCAACGTTGTACCTAATATTAGAGAATGTACAATGCACACGACCAGTTTTAACCAGACAGCACAAAAGTAACTGAGCATAACAACATGGAACACCTTAGTTTTACTACCTGGCAACAATCTGAATGAAATCAACACAAAACCCATACAACTGCCCATGCTCCCATTGAGATCGGGAAGCTCTGTTACTTTTGTGACTGACTATGAAGTGGACGAGTGGGGTCTAATCACCGACAGGGGCAGAGAATCTTTCCTCCAACCTCTGCACCCAGACCAGCTCTGGGGCCCACCCAGTCACCTGTCTAAGGGGTACTAGGATTCTTTCCTGGGGGTTAAGTGCAGCTGTGGGTGATGGTGACCAATCACCCCTATCTAATACTGAGGTTAAGAACGCGTAAGAGCTATACCTCCTCCTCAACAAACAAATATATCACACAACGCAAGGGTACCTACGCATAACCATACAGGCAATGCTAGTTTAAAATAAATGATTTGAATACATTTTCAGCAGAATAAAAGGTCATGAAATCTTTTGTTTTCCATGTTAAGTACTTTATCCTCACATTTTATGGGAGGAGGAATTCAAAAAATTAGCATGTATTTTTCCTTTCACTTCTTTCCTCTGCCAACAGTCTACAAGATTCTTTACACACAAATTTCTAAGTAATCTGCGAACAATGTCACAAAAACAGTTTAATTATTTGTTATAAAAAAGTTTAATTTTTTCCTCCAACTTAATCTGGAGAGAGAGTTAGCTATGTACATTAAACCTATATGACTTCCTAGAACACAAGCACATAGACAAACATTATTAAAAATATTTCTGTGTTCTGGGTTGTTGCGCCGTGTAGTCTGGTCGATGTTAACCAACGTTTCAGAGGTCGTACTGCCTCCATCATCAGGGCGATGGCGAAGGCAGTATGATATCTGAAACGTTGGTAAACATCGACCAGACTACACGGCGCAACAACCCAGAACACAGAAACCTTCATACTCACTGCTGTGAAAACCTCAAATCTTACAAACATTATTAACATTTTATCAAGCAGATTAATTGCCATGTGTACTGCCTCTCATTGTAACCACTGTCTAATACTCACCTTTTAGCACATGACATGGAACAGAACCGCTTTGACTTCTTGAATTTCGAGCGAAGGTCAACCTTCCCACAAAATTCACATTTTTCCAGTTCACCCTTTGGTCCCGGTGGAAGCGGAACAAGGAGTAGATCTGGAGCATGTTTCTTCTCTGTTACAGAAATAAAAAGACATTACAATGGGGTAAACATATATCAGAATATCTTCTACCAAAACTATAAATATTCTGCACTGGTAACAGCAGAATGTGTTCACTCTATCCTATCCGGTGACAATTCAAACCAATCCACATCACAACTTCCAGTATTTCCACAAGAACCATTTCAATATCCATACCCATCATTCAGGGATATCCACACAAAAATAGTTTCTCCAATCCAAGTTCCATATCCAACCCGTCACAATTTCTCTGAGGTAATTACTGATACCAGAGACATTATGTATAAGACCACACAACACAAATCCTATCACTTTCATGCCAACTGAAATTTAATGCGGAGCTTCACATTGTATTGAGGCTTTGGGGACCAAGGCATGGCAGAACCTACTTTGGGGGAATGTCATCGCCAAAAATTGTGTTAACCCTTTGATAATGAACTTCACAGCAAACATTACATCCCACAAATGCAATACTTCAGAAAAACCATTGTAAAATAAAAAAAAATAAAAATGTGGTGAAACCTCGATATATCACGCCTCGTTATACCCCGGACTCAGATACACCATGGCTGCGATCATGTCCCCCCATATGTTTTACATATTTCACATATAACACAGGTAGGTTATAACGCGGGTACTGAAGCTGTCCGCCGAAACCTGTGCTACATCGTATCACAGTCCAACATAGCTCTCTTGCTACCAGAAATCCATATCTCATGTTGACATTACGAAAAAAACCTTCAGGTGGCAGAATGAAAACATTTTGACATGTGACAAAAGACCCCACTTAATGGTACCTGCACCTTGTTGTGGTGGTGGGGCTAGAGTACCTCAGTGACCCCAAGAGCTATGCTGGCGGTAGCATAGCTACTGGTAGGGCCTCCCTAGCCAGATTGGTAGAAGGGAAGAGGTCAGACTAAGACAGGTACCCTGGTCCTCCAGGTTGGGGGGGTTGGTCGCAAGGCTAACAACCTTGCACCGTACAAAGAAAGATGTTTCGAAACCTCGATCAAAGCCTCGGACAGACAGACCCAACAGAGGACCGAATGGAAGAGGAGAATTGAGGAGGCCATGGACCGAATACGGACGGGAGAGCCATAGAAGAAAAGAATATGACGAAAGAATAGCAGTCATTCAAAGCATTTAAGTGAAGCTCTTTTAAACACATAAAATATCGGTTTACAGTTGAGTAGAGACCTCCCATTCACAAATCAAGCAGAAGTGTTTTGTTTTGACTACAGTCTCATATTGCTACCCCATGAACAGTTTACAAACAATAGAACAATTGAACCTAGAACTGTTGGTGCCAGAACCTAGTTTAGATGAAGTGGAACTAGCCATTGGGAAGTTGAAAAGTTATAAATCTCCAGGTATTGATCAAATTCCAGCAGAATTAATTACAGCAGGTGGCAAAGGATTACATATGAGGATCCATAAGCTTATTCAGTTAATTTGGGATAAGGAAGAGATGCCACAACAATGGAAGGAATCCATAATTATTCCTATTCATAAGAAGGGGGACAAGACTGAGTGTGGTAATTACCGAGGAATTTCACTGCTATCAACCTCATACAAAATTCTGTCGAACATTCTTTTGGCAAGATTAACCCCATATGCGAATGAAATTATTGGGGATCATCAGTGTGGGTTCAGACGAAACAGATCAA